GCTCTCCGCTCCGCGGGAAGCCTGCTTCTTCCTCTCCCTCTGCTCCTCTCTCTCTCTCTCTCAAATAAATAAATAAAATCTTTAAAAAAAAAAAAAATAAATAAATAAACTGAAAGTTGAAGGGCAGGATGTCAATGTATCCTCCCAGTGGTTGGTGCCTTTTGATTTTGGGAAGATTCAGACAAACAGCTTGATTATGGGTGGAAGGCTGGATTTTGAATTCAGCTTTTATTTTCAATTTTGTTTCCAGATGAGGTCAGAATCAATTTTGTGTGTTAGAATATGAGGGCCAAAATAATCACCAGGCCTTTCCTGGACACCTTGAAAATTGATCTCAAATTCACAGTAAAATATTAATGCAGTGTTGGGGGTCAGGGGCAAAACCTTTTTTTTTTTTTTTAAAGATTTATTTATTTATTTTAGAAAGAGCAATCATGAATCGGGGGAGGGGCAGAGGGAGAGGGAGAGAATCTTCAAGAAGACTCCCTGCTGAGCACGGAGCCCCACACGGGGTTCCAACTCATGACCCTGAGATCAGGACCTGAGCTGAAGCCAAGAGTCAAAGCTCAATCTACTGAGCCACCCAGTCACCTCTGAGGCAAAACTTTTTTGATCCCAGGTAGTTTTTGCCTTCTTCCCTCTTTTATTTTGTGTGGGGGCTTATCTTGTGTATAGGCCAGTGCATCAGCAAATCTTTGGTTTGCAACGGGGATTCTGACTGTGAAGAGGACAGCGCTGATGAAGACAGATGCGAGAACTCAGAAAGCAGAACTTCCTGCGACCTTGATAAACCTCCTCCCAACATAGAACTTACTGGAAATGGGTAAGGTACTGGGCAGCTTCCTGTGCATATGGATGGGTTGTAGCTTTTCATTTTGTTTTTATTTTATGGCTTGGTAAATCTAATAACAAATCATAACAGCTAAGCTTTTGGCTCAGAGCTCTTTGCCACATCCTAAAACATTTAAAACAAAATTTTTTGAAGTTTTATTTATTTAAGTAATTTCTACCCCCAATGTAGAGCTCGAACTCACAACCCCGAGATCGAGTTGCACGCTCCCCGACTGAGCCAGCCAGGTGCCCCAGAACTTTTAATTCATACCTGTATACCTGAAAATATATGTGGAAAATGTAGAGTGTCCAATTGTCCCTGGACTATCCTGCTTTTAGCACTGGAAATCCTATGTCCAGGGAAACCCCTCAGACCTGGGAAAACCTGGATGTTGGTCACCTTCTGGGAGAGAGGTAGAAATAGAGAGACAGAGGGAGAACTGGTGCAGTGACAATGATGGGGAGCTACTTAAGAGAATGAAGAGATAATAGAATAAGAACAGAGAAAGAAGAGAGAAAGTGGTGTGTTGGAATATTTAGGCTTGAAAAGTAATTGTCTAAACCAGCTGGAAACTTTCATTTTCAAGTGAAGTTGGGACAATCCCATGTTTGTCTTTTCAAAAAGAATTGTGAAGAACTTTTAAGGGTCAGATCCAAGTTGAGATTTCAAGGCTTTAAAATAGTCTATTTTAGAATGATAGTTAGAGGTGGTTTTTCTATAATATTTTAAAATTCATTAACAGAGAAATGGTAAAATTACTCTAAAGGGTATACCATTCAGTATGCTAAGAGGGAATTTAGTTGAAATTCCCTGTAGAAAGTTCCCTTTTGGGGCACCTGGATGGCTCAGTTGGTTAAGCATCTGCCTTCGGCTCAGGTCATGATCCCAGAGTCCTGGGATTGAGCCCCGCATCGGGCTCTTTGCTTAGTGGGGAGCCTGCTTCTCCCTCTGCCTGCCGCCCCTGCTGCTTGTGCTCTCTCTCTGTCAAACAAAATCTTAAAAAAAAGAAAAGAAAGTTCCCTCTCCTCAAGAGTAATCTTAATTGTATTGGTTTTATCTATAGATTCAACTCAAAACCAGCTTTTGCTATAGATACAAAAGGGCTGTGTGTTTCCCAAACATGTTCTTAGGCTGAAGGGATGTTGGATTTCCCCAGCTATTAGTTTTAGCTATTACACCACCCAGGGGAGGTGGATAATGTATGGTGTGCATTAGGATACTGTTCTCTTTATTTGAGCTCTCTTGAAGAGATGCTTAACTGTAATATATTTCAAGATTTTCTAGAATTCCTTTTTCAGCAAGTGCTGTTTCTGGGTTTTAATCATCTTTTCTTCCTTCCTTCCTTTTTTTTTTTTTAAACAGTTACAATGAACTCACTGGCCAGTTTAGGAAGAGAGTCATCAACACTAAAAGTTTTGGTGGTCAATGCAGAAAAGTGTTTAGTGGGGATGGAAAAGATTTCTATAGACTGAGTGGAAATATCCTTTCCTATACATTCCAGGTACTTAATTTCATTGATTTAATTTATTTTTAATGTGTGAATTATTGCCAGAGATCATTATTTATATGATATTGATTTTTTGGTATTTGTTGAGAATTTATTTGTGGCATAATACTTGGTATTTGTTGAGAATTTATTTGTGGCTTAATATTTGGCTTAAACAAATGTTTTGTATGGGCCTAAAAAGGATACATATTCTTTAACTCTGGGGTACAAGGCAATGATACTTTAAATTTGTCTCATTTAAGCTGAACTATTCTGTTGTCTCATTTTCAAGTCTGTGGACCATATGGGCCCCAGACTGGATGGTCTGTCCCTGTGTGGGTGTCAAAACTCAAGGCCCTGGTCAGGACTGGTTGTAATAATCTTAGTGTCAGCTCACTTAAAAATGCTTTTGTTTTTAAATTGTGAAATATTTCATATATACAAAAGTGTGACTAATGTAAACATACGGTTTGAAGAAAACTAATAAAACAAATACTCATATATGCCCACCACCCACCTTAAGAAATAGAATATTGCCAAAGACTGATTTAAATGCTCTCATCTACCCCTCTCTGGCCACATCCTCCCCACCCCCACTCCCTAGACAACCACTATCTTCTGTTTTGTATTAATCACTTCTTTGTCTTTCCATATACATTTATCTCATATGTCTTTGTCCCTAAATAAAAACTTATGATTAGGGCGCCTGGGTGGCTCAGTCGTTAAGCGTCTGCCTTCGGCTCAGGTCATGATCCCAGAGTCCTGGGATCGAGCCCCGCATCGGGCTCCCTGCTTGGCAGGAAGCCTGCTTCTCCCTCTCCCACTCCCCCTGCTTGTGTTCCTGCTCTCGCTATCCCTCTGTCAAATAAATAAATAAAATCTTTAAAAAAAAAAACAACAAACTTATGATTATTTGTGCCTGTTTTTTGGCCACTTATAAAAGTAAATCCTATAGTATATATTCTATGACTTTTTTTTTTACTCAAAATTATGGTTTTGAAATTTATTCATGCTGATGTAGATGACATTTTTATTGCTGGTTCCATTTTTTTTCTTATGAAAATGCCTTGCACATTCTTGTGCATGAGTTCCATGCAAATGAGCTAGAGTTTCTCTAGGGCACTTGAGTTGCTGCCACACAGGTTATGTATAGGTTACACTCTGCTCAGCAAAGTTTCCAAAATGGATGTGCCATCAACTTATACCAGACCAGCAGTGTGGAAGGGGGGCCCTGTGCTCCCTATCCTTAGCAACGTCTGCATTGCCAGAATTTTCCATTTGGCTTAGGGTCGCAGGGACTCCATTCCAGGCTTCTGCTTCTTGTAAGCTGTTTCTGTCATACACACCTAAACTAGTTCTGTTCCAGGATTTCCACACAAAATCCACTCACACAGAAACAGTTATGGTTTTAGGGGGAGAATCCTGAGCATATGAAGGGAATATAGAGGAAAGATTTTCTGTTGCAGTCATGCCGACGCATTCAACAAAAAAGGTTGACATCCTCCATCACAAAACATCTGTCCTTCTAGAACTTCAACAAATCAAAGTTTCTGGTCTCATCCCATTTCAGCCTCTTGTTCTCTTCTGCCAAGACCTCCTCTTTCACTCCTTTGCTCTCTTCTTCCCAGAATTCTGAAAATTTCCAGTTCAGTGCTTCTTACCTATTACTCCCGAATTTGTAGACCAAAACTATTAGGATGTTCAGACAGAAGGGCTTTTTGTTTACCAAACTTAACCCTCTTCAGAATGCAGTTTTAATTATAAATAGCAAACAGCATCCTCCTCTGACTTACAGTACAATAAGTTACATTTACGAACTACTGTGTCATGGGGGCACCTGGGTGGCTTAGTCGGTTGAGCATCTGACTCTTGATTTTGGCTCAGGTCATGATCTCATGGGTCATGAGATTGAGCCCTGTATTGGACTCTGTGCTCAGTGAGGAGTCTGCTTGAGATTCTGTCTCTCTCTCTCTCTACCCCTCCTTTGCTCTCTCTCTCTTAAATAAATAAATAAATTTTTTTTTAAAGACTTTATTTATTTATTTGACAGAGAGAGACAGCGAGAGAGGGAACACAAGCAGGGGGAGTGGGAGAGGGAGAAGCAGGCTTCCCGCCAAGCAGGGAGCCCGATGCGGGACTCGATCCCAGGACCCTGGGATCATGACCTGAGCCAAAGGCAAATGCTTAACTGGCTGAGCCAGCCAGGTGCCCCAAAGATAAATTTGACCAGAAAGAAAGTCAGTCACTGAAGAGCTAACCCAGTGTGAAGACTGGGATAGTAAATGCTCTCCACAGCTCAGATAGACCTGAGGCCCCTAGGCATTCAGCTCTTTTGAGTGGAAGATGGCTTTTGGCTTGTTGGCACATAAATATTAGTAAATAAACATGTAACAATAATCAGTCAGTCCATCTTATAATCTCTGTTTCAGTTATCAGTAGTGTAGTTTATCCAGGGCAAACCTGGTTTCTTGTTGACTAAGTCATTATCTTTGATGCCATGCACTTTCTCTGTTTGCTCATATTTTTCATACCACAAGGAAGCCTTGGACACAGAAACACGTTCCTCTTCCATGGCCACTTTGGGAAGGTACCACTTTGCTAGTTCAGTCTGGAGAATGTTGAAAGACTGTTATGTTCATCGTCAGCTTGGAAAGAGTTGCAGAGGGGAGTAAAGATGAAGGTAGAGAAAATGAATTACTTCCTGGATCCTCCTGTATTTAGTCTTGAATGTACTTCATTATATTTTTGGAACAGAGATCCTATGTGTATATCAAGTAAATAACAAAATCATATTCTTTTTAGAAAGACTTATTTATTTATTTTAGAGAGAAAGCGAGAGAGAGCACGAGCAGGGGGAAGGGCAGTGGGAGAGGGAGAGAATCTCAAGCAGATTCCCTGCTGAGCATGGAGCTCAGTGTGGGGCTTGATCTCACCACCCTGAGATCATGACCTGAGCTGAAATCAGGAGTCGGACGCCTAGCCGACTGAGCTACCCAGGCACCCCGGATCTTTTCTTTTCTTTTTTAAAAAAGACTTTATTTATTTATTTGACAGAGAGAGAGCGAGGGTGAGAGAGCACAGCAGCGGGGGGAGCAGAGGGAGAGGGAGAAGCAGGCTTCCAGCAGAGCAGGGAGCCCGATGCGGGACTCGATCCCAGGACCCTGGGATCATGACCTGAGCCGAAGGCAGATGCTTAACCAACTGAGCCACCCAGGTGCCCCCTTCTTTTCTCTGTAATAATCTAAAAATGTGGGTACTGTCATTTCTATTTTACAGTTGAGGAAACTCAAGACAAAAAGTGCTGAAGAGTTTACCCACAATCATAAAGTTAATAGATAACAAATATGGACTCTGAACCCAAGAAGTGTGTGTGCAGAGCCCTTGCAGCACACTCTACTTAGGTGGGGTTAGAATATACATACATTTGATAGGAATGAGCCAGTAGAGAATGAAAAATTGAAGCTGTGGGAGAGGGAGTAAGCAATCAATTTAATAAATCCTTAGAAGTGGTGGGAGGGAATGCAATAGAGATGAGACAGAAATTAGCTTTAGATGGAGGAAGGACACCTGCGGAGGAAAGGAAGTGAAGAAATGTAAATACGTTTGTGGATTTGTTAGCCAGAAGTTTAGGAGCTCTCATGTCTGATAATGGGAATGTTTGGAAAGAAAGAGGTTAAGGTCATTTTCTGAGAGTGAGGGAAGTGGTTCTAAGATTGCGGGACTGAGGTAGGTGCAGAACTTTTGAAATAGATACTGTAGAGAATGGGAGAGAAAGAGAATGGAAATATAGGGCTGCTGCACTGCTTTGAGGGTTCCCCTGAGACTGGAAATCATGAGTGGACTTACAATGGTACTGATCGGTTAGCTGTGTGATTTTTCTATCATAGTGCTAAGCAGCTTGGCTGCGAGCATTGAACCAGGGCTGGAATTCTGCCAGGCAAACATGATGGCAGAGCAGATCTAGGCAAGGGAGTTAAGGTCATTGGCGAGAGACTGGTTGAAGTCATGAACCATGAAGTCTATCTGAAAAGGAAGGAAGTGAAAAAATGAAGGTGCTGATAGAGAGAGAGAAGGGAAACCATGTAGAGGAACTTGTGTCTATAAAGTTGAATAATGGCTCTGGTGATAATAGAATGAGAGTCAAACGAGTAAGAGGTGGCAGGATGTAGGATGTTTGAATTTGTGATTTCAGAGGAGCGATCAGTCTGGGTGAGTCTAAGTTGGATGGAGAGAGTATTAATTAAGGGTCATTTAAGAAGATCACATTACCTTGAAAAAGATGACTCTTGCGGCCCTGTGTAGAGTAGATGAGAGTGAGGAGATGCTGAACTAAAGCAGCTAAAGAGGCTTATTTGCATTAATCAAGTACTTGAATTGCAGATTTGAAGATGAGGGAAAATAAGCTTTTTTTTTTTTTCTTGCATTGAAAGGAAGATAGATAACTTCTCTTTCTTAAGAGAGATAAAAAGTAAATTTGTGTCGATCTAAAACCAAATAGGACCGAAACACTATCTAGTGGTTGCAGAAATCTCTGATGGCATTCTTATTAATGTCCTCTTTCTAGTCAATAATAATACATATATTCTCCATCTCAGTCTGAGCTGAATTTTTGCCTTTGACTTTTAAACAAACCAATTTCATAATGTAATGAAAATAATGCTCTAACAAAAGATATGAGTAAATCTATCTTTTCTTGTCTTCTGGCATATTCTTAGCATGCATGCATAATTTTTTTAAAAAATTTTTTTATTTTTTTTAAAGATTTTATTTATTTATTTGAGAGAGAGAGAATGAGAGACAGAGAACATGAGAGGGAGGAGGGTCAGAGGGAGAAGCAGACTCCCTGCCGAGCTGGGAGCCTGATGCGGGACTCGATCCCGGGACTCCAGGATCATGACCTGAGCCGAAGGCAGTCGCTTAACCGACTGAGCCACCCAGGCACCCCACATGCATAATTTTTAACATGGACAGTGATAAAAGTAATACAATATTTTCTGGCATTTTGATGAATTTTTTTCTAGTCTTTTCTTCTTCTTCTTCTTCTTTTTTTTTTTAAGTAGACTCCAGGCCCAGCATGGAGCCCAAGGTGGGGCTTGAACTCACAACCCTGAGACCATGACCTGAGCTGAGATCAAGAGTCAGACACTTAACTGACTGAGCCACCCAGGCGCCCCTGAATTTCCTTCTAGTCTTTTTTTGACTGGGGAATATACTTGTATGGTTGTAATGAACAGGATTATCACATTTATACCCACTTTCTCATTTAACATGAATATTTTTCTTCATAGGCATCATTTAAAATGGCTACATGGTATTCTGTCATTTTCATTCTTCTTAGGTTTGTGTTTAAAGTGTATCATATCCATCATTTTAATGTTCCCTGTGCTTATTTATACTTTGATCTCAAACACAGATGTGTATGGCTATATGCTAAGAACACAAATGCTTGTGGAAGGACAGTTACTGATTTGACTATTTATGCAGAGCAGACACTGAGAGAGGGAGTCAGCTTGTGTGTCTTGTTTTATTTTCATGGTGCTTGACATTTTTTAGCAAATTAATTGCCCACAATTTAAAAAAAGTCTGGAGATCTTTGTGTCAAGATTTCAGATTTTTCTCTTTTCTTGAAAACAGATAATCTGTCAATGCTAGAACTTGTAGTTACATATGGTAACTGTATGATGGATTTGAGTGTTGGTGTCCCTTTTCAACAGTGTGTGTGTTCACTTTATCACCCTGCCTTCCACGGGATGCCTCCAACATTTATATTACATGCCAGCCCCCATGGACATTTTATTTTGACACTTGATCTAGGATAAAATAAGGAAGGGATAAATAAATGATTGTCTTCTTTGTCAGTGCTGGGGCTCTCCCTTTCCTGTTAGCCACATGTGACTATCCTGTTGTCTGCCTCAAAATTCCTTTGGGATGGCCTTTTCTTCTACCCTTGCTCATAAGGAAAAAAAATTGCATCTCTGTTCCCCTCTTTTAGCTGAAAAATCAAGAACCAAGGGCCTTTCAGTTCTCTGTTAGTGTAATTCTGTTGATTTGCTGACTTCTGGGTTAACTGTTGACATTAAAAGAAAGTGGGAGATGTTTGTACACAGATGTGTTCTGTGAATCACTTGGAATTGCCATTATTGACACCATGTCTCCTTCTTAACTAAGAGTAGTTGTAGAATGGACTCTATTCCTTATACTCATATGGGCCCGGTTGTAATGAGAGCCACAGTCATTTTGTGTCAATGAAGAGCTTTGTCTTTTTGGAGAAGACTGTTTGAAGAAAGTATCCACGTTAAAGGATCCATGGCAAAAGATTTTTGGTTATATCCAAGGCCTTAATTTGGTCACAGCAAAATTTTTCATTTTCTTTATAGGTGAAAATAAATAATGATTTTAATTATGAATTTTACAACAGTAGCTGGTCTTATGTAAAGCTTACCTCGGCAGAACATACATCATCTACTAGGAAAAGCTCCTTTTTCAGATCTTCATCATCTTCTTCATCTACTCATACTTCACATACCAGTGAAATCCACAAGAAAAAGGTTAGTATGAAATATTAGTTGACTTTTCCATATTTTACTGCTTAAATATTTCTAACATTAACAAAAGTGTATTTACCAAACAGATCAGCTTTCTTTTTTAAATTAGGGTAATAATATCCTCTTCAAAGGGACAATGTAATATATTTCTTTAAAAGGTAAGATTGTGTCTTGTTAGTTCTCTTGGATAATATATTTATTTATACTCTTTCTTTTCTTTTTTTTTCTTCTTCTTTTTTTTAAGTAAGCTCCATACCCAATGTGGAGCTCGAACTCGGGACCCTGAGATTAAGAGTTATGTGCTCCACTGACTGAGCCAGCCAGGCGCCTCTATACTTTTTCTTTAAGATTTTATTTATTTATTTGACAGACAGAGAGAGAGAGAGAGAGAGCTGTAGGCAGAGGGAGAGGGAGAAGCAGGCTCCCCACTGAGCAGGGAGCCCGATGTGGGGCTCAATCCCAGGACCCTGGGATCATGACCTGAGCCGAAGGCAGATGCTCAACGACTGAGCCACCCAGGCGCCCCCTTATTTGAAAATCTTAAAAAAACATTACTTTCAGATCTACTAATTAAAATTTTCTTAAATTTCTAATTCATGATTACTATACATGGTTATATAAATGTTATATACAGTTTAAAAAATCCAATTAGTATGTGCTTCCTAAACACTAACACTTAGAAGGTGCATAAAACTAAAAGATTTTGGAACACTTTATTACTTTTGAAATACCCAAATTTTTGTCTGAGGAAGTTAAAAGCCTTATTTTTAGATACTTTGTTGTTTTGAGATACTAAAACTTTTATCTTGGGCAAGCTGAACAGTTGTGAGAGATTGCACTGGCTGATGCACTCCCTGCTGAAGAAGTTTTCAGGCTGACCATCATTCTAAATCTGCATATTTCATCTCATTCTTGAAGTCAGTAACTTGATTAATAAATCACAGGAAGTATAAAGGAATAGTGGTTTTGCTTGTTTCATGACTAAGAAGCTGACTGTGGAGATAGGAGTTATATAAACATTTATTATTTTTATACTACATTGTTCACAGAAGTGAGGATTTGGTATAAGGTAGATCTGTCTTGGACATCATTACAAGATGCTTAGGAAGTGTTCAAAGACCTCATTGTATCCACTACTGGGTACTTACCCAAAGAATACAAACACTAATCCAAAAAGAGAGATGCCCCTATGTTTATGGCAGCATTATTTACAACAGCCGAATTATGGAAGCAGCCCAAGCGTCTATGGATAGACAAATGGATACAGAAGATGTGGCATATTTATACAATGGAATATTACTCAACCAGAAAGAAGAATGAAATGTTGCCATTTGCAACAACATGGATAGATCCAGAGAGTATGATGTTAAATGAAATAAATCAGAGAAAGACAAATGCCATATGATTTCACTCATATGTAGGATTAAGAAAATGAATGAACAACAACAAAAAAGAGACAAACCAAAAAGCAGACTCTTAATTATAGAGAACAAACTGGTGATTACCAGGGGGGAGCTGGGTGGAGGGATGGGTGAAATAGGGGATGGGGATGAAAAAGTGCATTTGTTGTGATGAGGACTGGGTGATGTATGGAATTGTTGGTTCACTATATTGTACACCTGCAACTAATACAGCACTCTAGGTTCATGACATTAAAATAGAAAAACCCCTCATTATGAAGTGAGGGACCCCAGTATGGAATATAATTTATATGGTCACCTTACCTATAAGTCATTGTGTACACCCTAGGGTCATACTATTTTACATACTTATTTGTGAAATTGTTTAGCAGTTAACGAAGCTGATTCTCTTTTTTTCTGGTTGGGAAGGGCATAACTACTTGGTTTTGAGATTTTAAATGTCATATATGCAAGAAATTACCATGTTATCACTCAGATATTATTCCTATTTGGGATTCCAAAAATTCCATAGACTGCTTCAAGTGAGTGGACCCAGAAAAGACCTCATCATGCATCAAAAATAGAAATTCATATAGTCTGGTTGGGGGTGGCAGCTGATGGAGACACTGGACAGCAAACTAATTCCACTGCCTTTTTATCACCAACCTAAAACTCTTTTTATGCTCTCTTCTTTCCATAGAGTCATCATTTGTTGGTTGTCCAGAACACCGTGGAAGTGGCTCAGTTTGTCAATAACAATCCGGAATTTTTACAACTTGCGGAGCCATTCTGGAAGGAACTCTCCTTCCTTCCCTCTCTGTATGACTACAGTGCCTACCGAAGATTAATCGACCAGTATGGGACACATTATCTGCAGTCTGGGTCCCTAGGAGGAGAGTACAAAGTTCTATTTTATGTGGACTCAGAAAAAATCAAAAACAGTGGTAAAGTATTAAAAAATTATTAAATACAAGCATTGTAGGAATTTTAATGGGGGAAATAACATGTAGTTAGCTTAAACTTTCAGAGCTTTAAAATGTGACAAATAGAGATTAAATTACAAAGGAATCCAAAATGGCAAGAATCCATTATATTCTACTCAAAATTTTTAGGCTCTAAGAAAAGCCAGCCTACTCTTTTGGATAGTACCCTGAAACGTGAGATAGTCATCATCATTGGCTATCCTCAGAGGGTGTTGATTGGGTTTTTGGAATACTTTTTAACCTTATCCATTTCTCAGCTTAAGTAATATTCTTCAAGGAAAAGCTAATGAGGAATTATATTTCAGAAATCAAAATGTTTTAAAGAAGTATTTTGTTTACCTCTGTTATTACCACTCACATTCCTTTAAGAAAATCTGCTCTGGATATCACAAGTTTGCTTACTAC